TCCAGTGTGTCTCTTTCCTGTTACGTCCTTCATCTTAAAGAAGTCTCCTTTAATATACCTCCTACAGTATTAAAATGATATATGTATTTCAGATAACAATATCTACTCACATCAATATGAAAAAAAACATCCATAATCACACTGGATATTGAAAAGCTGCAATTGTTTGGAGATTTTGTGTCACACTTTGAGAGACAAAACTGTTATCCTCTGAGCTCGAAAGCTATTGAAGAGATTTTTCTGACGCACTCTAAAATGATTTATTATAGGTCAGAGGGCAGTCACGAGAGAAAAAGATCAATCACAGAGGAAGAGATAAGTTTTTCCCTTGATCTCTCACTCTCTCTCTCTTTTTTTTTCCCCTTGAGCAAACATCTCACTTGTAGGGTTCTAAGGATTACTTTAGGATTCTAATTTCTACAGTGATCACATATTTTAGGCCTTGCTTACAGTTATTTTTTATAAGAAGAAACAAAAGAAAAAATTCAACTGATGCACTGTAACAAATAATCAGTTGAGGTACTATGAATACAGCAGTGTTAGTGACTGGTAAAAGTTGTATGTGGCTGAAGAGAAAAATATAAACTAGTTTGCAGTTTACTCTGAAAACACAGCCCAAATGGATTCTTATAAAAATGCACGTTATGGCCCCACAGATGCCACTCGAATTCATCATGATTAATGTTATCACAGGCAATCCCAAGGGCTGTGGTAATGATTGGCTACTTTTCATGAAGAGCTGTGAAATGGCTTTTTTGCTCTGCATGCTAAACACAGAAATCATTTAAGTGCAATAATTGAGCAAAGACAATTACCTTCACCTACAAAGCTTGCAAATGTTTTCTTCCTTCTTTCTATTGTTAACAAAGAGCATTGTCTTCCACTTCTCAGGGAATTAGACATGTAGATTCCCTTGCCCATCAGGAGAACAGTGTGTCTGATTCCTCAGTCACTATATTCAAACATAACTCCACCTGATAATTTATATGTGTAGTACTACCATATTGCAAGTCTCATATGAATACAGTGGTTTTGTATTCATCACAATGACATCAACAACTGGGAGGGCTTTTATTAACCAGATGTTATCAGCATAGCTGTAGCATCTAAAAGTCACAAACAGAACTGTAAATGAAATTTCAAGAGACAAAACCTCTTCCGAATTGTTTTAAATTCAAGTCCTCAGAAGAGCCTTAGTGTGGAAGGTGTCACAGAAGTCACAAAAATGATGCACCAGCCAATGACAAAGACAGTCACATAACATCTGCCTCTAGCAAGGAAGAGGATCTGCAAGGAAGTGTTAGTTACGATTCTGGTAGTGCTTCTAATTCCTACTTTTTCTTTACATGTTAGGCATCTGGTGCTATGCTTTTTGTGGCACAGACTGATCTCAAAAAACATTTGAGAGCGCTGAGACTGTGCAGCGCAAGATCTGGGTAAACACTTTTCTAGAGATGGGTGCATTTTCTTCTATGAAAGAGTGGTCAGGAACTGGGATGGGCTGCCCAGGGAGGTGGTGGAGTCACCGACCCTGGAGGTGTTCAAGGAATGTTTGGATGCTGTGATGAGGGACATGGCTCAGTGAGATCTGTTGGTGATAGGTGGATGGTTGGACTGGGTGATCTTGTAGGAATTTTCCAACATTGGTGTTTCTGTGATTCTGTGATTCTGTGATTCTGTGATTCTGTGATTCTGTGATTCACCACACATTGTAATTAAGATGGATAAGCATCAGCATAAGCCTGGAGCCAGCCTAAAATTCTCTTTCCAGATCCATAGAGGAATTCTTCACTTTTGGCCCATACAACATTCAGACAGAGCAATCCAGAAATAAATTCATCATTTTCAATCAGATGAGTTGATAACAGAGGCAAAAATACAGATTACTAAGACTACTTTATGCACTTAAATTGCAATTTCAGGTGCAGTATCATTAGAGTCTCCACTATTTTTGCTCTAGGAAAAGTGTGGTACATATTTGTTGGCTTGATCTGACATGGAACAAAATCACACCCTCACCAAAAGTAGGAATAAATTGAGATTTTTTTATGCAAACCAGAATTTTATTCAAAGTTCAAACTGACAATCATCCAGAAAAATTATTCGTGTCCACTCTGCTGGACTGGACATTCTCTGAAGAGGACAAAACATCCTCCAAAGTGGCTTTTGGTCTATAAGTACTAGGAGTCATTGCTTTAAATATGGACATAAAGAGCAGGCATATATAAAATTTATTTTATTTGAATCTTTGTGAACAGTGGAAATATACTGAATGGCAGAGTGAAGGGAAGACTTCATGAATGCTAGTTTCCAAAAACACGTTTCCCCATGCACACACACAAAAAAACCAAAACACGAAGTCTAAGATTATGTTTCACTAGAATCAACCTAGGAAGAATAGAGCCAACAGTCAATAGTGCTCTTCATATTTCTCTTACAAGATGGAAAAGTATTTTTCCATGTTTTCCAATTGTACAGTATATCTGCAACAGCAACTGCTATCAGTGTCTCATTTTCTTCATGATAGATCATTACAGCCTTCCAGGAATGTTTCTTTTTTCTAGCTTTTTTTTTTTTTTTTTTTTGGTTGTTTTTGTTATTGTTGGCTTTTTTTGTCTGCTGGAAAATACTTGAGTATATAATTTATTCCCTCAGATTTTCAGTAATGAAATAAATAATTAAACATAAGCTAGTAAAAGATCTTGTCTCCTGTCTCTGAAATGTATTGTACACTGGCTGCGGGTATAATGAAATTACAGCAAAGTCAGTCCTCATCCATCAGTGACCATATTCTCCTAAACATGGCTGTGCTGCTACTCTCTCATCGCCTGGCTTTTGGAACATCAAACACGTCTTTTGATAGCACATCTATGGTAACTCAACTATTCCACTTTGTGGTTGATTTCTTATGGGAAAACTAGGGACAATCTTTTCAATGTAAAATTCCATTAATGTGTTTCCCCAGTATTACATGATGTACATCAGGCAGTAAGTGTGAAAGCACTATGAGATGGTCAAAGGGAAGGGAAGAGAGCCAAGTTAGTCACAGTCCAAGAGGAACCCCTGCTGATCGCTGGAGGGATAGCAGTGAGTGCTGAGAAAATTCAGTTCATGCTGAGACAGGCAGAAATTGTGTTAATGTGATTTAAACAAAAAAAGAGATGAGAGTTCAAAAACAGTTGGAAGACTAATTCAAGTGCATTCTTTTATAAGCCATAACCTAGAAGACGTATTTGATCCCTTGATCATTTGATCTTTACCTTCGCTAACCACCCAAGATAAATATTACTCACTAGACAGACATAACAAACTAAAAGATGAACATTTGATGATTTAATATTGAATAGATAAAACTATAGGAAACATCACTTGTGTATAATGATTTCATTTCCTTGATTTTCTATATATTGCTGTTTGAATATTCTGTACTTCTCTTTCTCCTTTTTAGTTCTAACACATCTCTTTTATTTCATTATAATTCCTTATGAACATATCTGAGAGCTTCTGAAGGCACATTTCCTCAGCACTGCAAGCATGGAACTGGACTTCTCAGATGATACTCCAAAAAATGTTCTTTTTACATATAGGCAGAACAATCTTGATTCTATTTGCTTAGGACTCGTACCATTCTGATAGTGCACATAAAGTAGAATAATTATGGATTTATCTAGTCTGTCTGAAAAAAAAAGAGGGATTCAACTGTGCTTCCTCTTCTAGTGACTAAGATCAAAAATGAAATCTGTGCCTTAGGAGAGAATAAAGCCTGGTTTCCATTTCAGCGAGCTCAGTTCTCCCACAGGGCCACAGGCAGTATGTGACTTTTGTACCTAATGAAAGATACACCTGTGCTGCCACAGATGATGTAGTGCCTAAAGGATCTTCAAAGCAGATGGATAGAATAGAAGCCATGGTGTTCTTCATACTCCCTTGCTTCTCACATGAACTTGAAACATATGGGTTTATAATCAAGATAAAACGGAGAGCATCACTGCATTTACATAGTCATCACATCATCTCATCACTTGCTTACACAATACCTGTTCCATCTAAACATTATTGCTCAAGTATGCATACATTCCACTATCTGCTGGTTAAAAGACTACATGATCATAGAATCACAGAATCACAGAATCACAGAATCACAGAAATCACAGAATCTTTAGAGTTGGAAGGGACCTCTGAAAGCCATCTAGTTCAACTCCCTTGCAATGAACAGGGACATTACAAATAGATTAAGTTGCCCAGGGCCTGATCAACCTCACCTTGAATATCCTCAGGAATGGGGCATCCACCATATCTCTGGCAACATGCTCCAGTGCCTCCCCACCCTCAATGTAAAAGACTTTTCCTTATATATAACCTAAATCTACCCTTTTTGAGCTTGAAACCATTTCCTCTTCTCATATCACCAATACCCTGCTAAAGAGTCAGTCCTCTTCTTTCCTGTAGATACTGAAAGGCCATTCTCAGGTCTCCCCAGAGTCTTCTCTTCTCCAGGTTGAATAGCCCCAACTCTCTCAGCCTGTCCTCATAGGAAAGGTATTCCATCTCTTGGATCATTTTTGTGGGCCTCCTCTGGATGTGCTCCAACAGGTCAATGTCTCTCCTGTTCTGAGGACTCCACATCTGAATGCAGTACTCCTGGTGAGGTCTCACCAGCACAGAGTAGAGGGGCAGGATCATTTCCTTCACCCTTGATAATTCCTTGACCGAGTTAGTTTTGATGCAGCCCAGGATAGGGTTGGTTTTCTGGGCTGTGAGGGCACATGGCTCGCTCACATCCAGCTTCCCATCTACCTGAATCCCCAGGTCCTTTGTGGCACGGCTGTGCTCAGTCTTTTCCAGCTTGTATTGGTAGTGGGGGTTGCATTGACCCAGGTGCAAGACCTTGCACTTGGATTTATTGAACTTCATATGGTTCACTTGGGCTCACTGCTTACACCTGTCTAGGTCCCTCTGGATAGCATCCGACATGTTGACAACACCACACAGCTTTGATAATGCCTTCAAGTGATGCAATACATAGTTTAGGAAAAAGTAACAGGAGATTGTACAGGTAGTGTAACCAGGAGGGATTGTAGCCATGGATTAGATACAGACTATACAATCTTTTCAAATTTTGCAGGTAAAATTCAGTTTATTTTTCCTGCAGGTGAAATTGAAAACTTTATTAAATTTGAAATTATTAAAACTTCATTGTGGAAAAACCTTTAGAATTTTCCTAAATAATATGCCATATTACCACTGCTTATAAAACAAAATAGAACAGAAAAGCTAAAAACTAAGGACACTTTTTTGTATATATTTTTAAATCATTATCAGTAACCAACTCACCTTTCCTTAGTCTTAATTTATTTTCTACTTCGCTTTCACCTCTGAAATAAAAGCAAACTTTAACTTCTCCTAGGGAATGAAAGATCTGTTTCACTCAATTCATGTCACTCAAGTGTGCCTAAGCTAAAATCCTAAAATTGCAGAGCACATTTCTGAGCGCAAGGAGATGAGTTGCACAACCTCAGGGCTCACTTTATGTGGCCAGAGTCCAGTGGGATGTAAAAATGCAATTTTCATAAGTAAATAAACTACTTCTCTTTAGACTTCTGCTTGTTCTTATAGCTTTACACCAACTAAGCACTGAACAGAGCAGGAATGGCCTAGGCACCCAGAACTGTTGAGAAAGTCTCATGATGTTGGAAAATCTTAAGCGAACTGGAAAATTTTGGACAAAAATATGTCTCAGAAAGTCAAATCTGAAATGAATGCAAAGATCTGGGAGGAGAAAGCCTCTGACATCAACAGCTGTTCTTTGTTCTTGTTGAAGTATGAGGAAAGTATGTTTATGGATAGATGTAATTAATGTACAACTCCAGCTGTTTAAAAGGGAACATGGAGTTACCTTGCATATCCTTAACAAGTCATTTCTTGTGAAACAGCTGAACCTGGATGTCCTCATCCGCAGGAGAGCCAGTGGTAAGTGTACTCAGAGCTAGCCAAACAAATGTGAGCTAAGGTCACCTTAGCTCTCAATGGGAGCTTCTGTCCTGGCATTTAGTTCCACTTATTAAACCCATTTCTGTTTCAGACCTTTCTTAGTTTTAGATTCTTCTCCTCATCTCCTGATATCCTGTGGTCAGGGTGGGGACAGGAATAGCTTCAGTGAGTGAAATGCCATTTAACCACAGCCTTCTTTATCCTATTTGTCCAAATTTAGTAACACCCATTCTATTGCAGTCTCAATGTTAACATTTAATTTGTGACCCTTACTCACTTTATTAGTGTACGATCAACAGCTTTGGTTTCCAGTCTGCTCTAGCTGTATAAGGTTTTCCCATGACATACTGCATTTATGGTATTAGGGTCTTTGCTAAGACTAAGGAAATTAAAGATAGACTTTCAATGAGAGAAGCAGAAACCTCATATGATAACATGCATATAAATTCAGAGCAAGCTGGAGATGAGATTGTGATCAAGACAGCTAAAAAACGTCATTCTTCTAGATGAAGAAAAAATTTTTTGTGAGATCTTGTGATGATGACAAAAATATCACATGAGAACTCAAAAAGATGAGAAAAAAAAAGACTGTTGAGGTTTTGAGAACAGAGTTGTGACTGTTGAATCAACTGTGCCATTTGGAGGGCTTATGGAATCCTTAATTTGAGGTAAACATTGTAACAGAGAGCCAAAAGAAATAACAAGATTGCAGAAAAGATTCTAACTTCAATTTGGGAAAGGCAATTAGAGCATAAGTGGTGAACATCACTTGCTGATTGAAAGCTCTGAAGGAAAGCAGATCCTTTTCAGTGGATTGAATTATTCAAAGGAGCAAGTTGAAGAAAACTGAAACCTCAAAAAAGAACAGGCAAGCTGCAAACAAATGTTTGAAGCAAGGAGCGTGAGGGACACAACAAATGGAAGGAAATAATCCAAACTGATATTTAACAAAATAATTTTACAAAAGCCTGCAGAAAAGACAAAATATACCAAAGATGTTCTAAAATACGTTACTTCTACACAAGTAAGGATAACTTGTTTTGAGAAGGATTCAAGATATAAACTGAGCAGTTTTTCACCAATAACACCGCCAGATCCCTTGTAGGTTTTAGTTTGATGTTATTGCACAGATCAGTCTGATAACTGATTTACACTATTGAGGGTGAAGGCAGAACAACTCCCATCAGCGTTCAGCACAGACAGGGGACGGCTCATAAAGAGGTGGTGTGCAGGCTGGAGAGGTAGGGTCAGGCTGCCCAGGCTCTTCCCTGCGAGAACAGTATTACCTCAAAAACTGCTTCTTTGCTTTTAGTAAAATCTCGACTTCTTAGATTAAGAAATCTCACTTTGGATAGAAGGATTGATGCTTACACATAAGTCTCTCCTGGCCATGTCCTCTGTTGTCCTTGGGTTTCTCTTGAAAGGTTGTTCTGTTTCTTTCTTAGGCCTATCGAACTCTTCATAGTCTTGGCAAATGCTGCAGCATAGCAAAAGCCACAGCCTCTGTATCCATCTATGCCCTGGGTTGTTCCTGAAGGAAGGGATAAGGAAAGGGCCCAGGGGTGAGAACCGTATGAAGACAGTCTCCTATTTAGATCATAAACATACCTCTGACAATCAAATCAAAATGAACACCACTTGCCATGGTGTAAAAGCTGAGCTAAAACAAAACTTTTTAAAATAGAAGTTTGGATTTACTTTAGGAGAAGCACCTGTAGTCTATAATACAATATCACTGGAAGAGTAAATATCAGGACAGTGGGGGAAGGGGAAAAGAGAAAGAGAAAAGGAAAAGGAAAAGGAAAAGGAAAAGGAAAAGGAAAAGGAAAAGGAAAAGGAAAAGAAGAAAAAGAAGAAGAAAAAGAAGAAGAAAAAGAGAAAGAAAAAGAGAAAGAAAAAGAGAAAGAGAAAGAGAAAGAGAAAGAAAAAGAAAAAGAAAAAGAAAAAGAAAAAGAAAAAGAAAAAGAAAAAGAAAAAGAAAAAGAAAAAGAAAAAGAAAAAGAAAAAGAAAAAGAAAAAGAAAAAGAAAAAGAAAAAGAAAAAGAAAAAGAAAAGGAGAAGGAGATTAAAATGCAGAAATTGCAAAAGAAAAAGCAAAACTCAAAATATCCAACATGTAGACAGATGTCATAAAGAAAACAATGCAAGCTAAATTGCACTGAATAATGCTGTTAGGAAGAGGCAGCTTAAAAAGACTAAAATACTCAGAAAGAATCAAAACAGCAGTCTAAAATTATAACAACATAAACTTCAAATCCACAATTCAATACTTACATCAGTTCATTTGTATATACTGAAAAAAAAAAAAACAACCTATGTATTCATCCTAGATTATTCCTCCATTTATCTGTAAACAGCATTATTAGAGAACATAGCTACCAGGAACACGATCTCATATTTAAAATCCTTCTTTGTGAGACACAGTTGCAGTAATAATAGGTCATAGATCATAGTTGGCAGGACTGTTCTGCAAAATTACTTTATTTCAACTCAGAGGATGTGTTCATTTTATTGCTGCTTAAAAGAGAAAAAGAAAGGGAGAAGAAAAAGAAAAAAAATGTATCAAGAGAGAGAAAGTGATAAAGAGAAAAGAAAGAAGAAATTCAGAAAGACAAGGAATGTAGGAAGGGAGGGAAGGAGGGATGCAGAAAGAGAAGGCAGGAAGGCAGGAAGGAAGGAAAGAAGGAAAGAAAAATACTGAAAAGGTTGAAAAGGTGCTTGAAATAGATGAAGAATTAAATCTAGAACTTTATTTGATGCTGTTTGATTTCAGAGCAGTAGCCTCTGAACAGGACTATCATCTGCAGAATACACTTCAGCCCATACTGGCAGATTATTTCAGGTAGTAATGCTAAATGCTGGAGCTTTTATATGAAAAAATGAAGAAAAAAATCTACTGTGATAGTGGATAATGTTAATTTAATGGGGCAAGAGGACCTCAGACTAGTGCATTACAGCAGAGGACAGTAGTCTCTGGTGAAGTAGCCTCCCTCCCATGAGGTGATCATTAATGGAAGACAGACCTACAGCTTTTGTAACAAAAGGAAGAAAGAGAAAAAAAAAAAAATGAAGCATGAACCATTGACATCAAAACCAGAATTTAAAAAGAAAAAAAGAACAGGCTGAGCAAAACAGGGCTAAAACTCATGAGACGTTCATGTTCCCACTGGATAGATCAATAGGTTCCTCTCAACAAGTTTAGTTCAAGCTAGGCCTTGGCTTTCCTGACTCCATCCCTACACAGCCATTTCCTTATACTCTTTCCACAGTACCTGCCTCTGTTCCTACTGCTTGTGCATTTTCTTCTTGCTCTTTAGTTTGACCAGCAGGTCCCAGTTCAGCTATGCTGGTCCTCTTACCTCCGTTTCCTGACTTGCTACACCTGTGGATAGAGAGCTCTTGCACTCTGATGAAAGCCTACTTAACCACAGATCTGAATCTTCATTGCCTTTGCAGTTTATTCCCACCTATGATAAAATGGGTGTAACATACTCTGTTGATAATTACTTAGAGTGCCCTTTGAAAGGGTGTAAGAGATGAGTGTAAATGATTGCCAGTAAAGGGTGTGGTGAGAGATGCATTGACCAGGTTCCAGCACTAGAAATAGCTCTTTCTTCTTTGTAGGTAATAACTTCCCAGAGGAGCATGCCGCTCTCATTACTAGTCCTGTGAAAACACATTTTAAAATTATGATATTATTATGTATCACAAAGCTATTTTGCATCATTTATTATTTATTCACTGAGGCCTTGAGAGCACTTGAGTTTCATCCATGCATGCAGAAAAGTCCCAGTCCCAGTCCCAAGAAATGTATTAGCTAAGACATTTGCTGTAACTAAACTTGCATCAGATTTACTTAACAGATTTCTAAATTGATTTCAATAGTGCAAACTGTGCTGCAGACTATATAAACTTAGTTTTTTGAGAAATTTAGTATTCATGTGTAAAATTGAGTAAGCTGAACTGAAACTCTTAAATATAAGGGTTTTATTATTGTTATAGTGGAGAACTATCTAACGTTTGCAAATGAATCGCATACAAAAACTTGCAAAGGCAATATTTATCTAAAAAAATAATTTTTGAAAGAAATGATCTCTTTTTTTTTTTTTTTTTGGTCTCTAGAAAATCTTCTGTAAAACATTAACCAGATTTTATCTCATCATTTTATTGTTGGACTTCATTCTTAGCTACAGCTGCCCGGGTTTTTATAACCTGCTAGTAAATCTAACCATATTATTTTTAAATCAGTTGTCAGTTTTCTCATTCAGGCTGTATAGACAAAATCTGTCTGGGAAGTTCTTGGCTGCCATACAGATAGGTATGGAAGAAAACCCCTTGATAAAGATAGATATCTAATTATGCTGTAACCAAAAATAGCTTCTGCCTATATTAAGGGCACACACTGAATGGAAAATCTGAAAGCAAAAAGGTGCTCTGCACCTGTGCTTCGTGCTAATCGGAGCCAAGCCAGAAGTGGTTTGTAGCTATGCAGCCTCTCTGCTCCTCTCTGCTCTTCTTCATACACAAATTTTGGTAGAAGTGGAATGGACTAAAATCCCCATGAAAATTCCTCAGGCCCAGTTTCTATTGTGCTACACTGAAAAATTGATCTTTCTTAAGAGATAAAATAAAGCAGAGAGAGGAAAAGAAAGATTAACCTGATTAGCTTAACCTGCATGGCTTCACCAAGCGAAGGTCCTGCCTAATCAATTTTGTTGCTTTTTATGACATTATAATTGCTTCAGTGGGTGGGGAAGAGCCACTGATGTCATCTACCTGTATTCCTTGACACAGTCCTTACAACATCCTTCCCCCCAGAATGTAAAAATATGGATTTGATGGGTAGACTGATCAGTGGGAGAAAAAATTGTTGCAAAATTGCAAACTAGGTTGGGCTGTGTTATTCCTGTTTGTTACAGGGGAGTTGGACTAGATGACTTTTAATTGTCCCTTCCAAATTAAAAGATTCTGTGACACTATGATTCTATGGGGGAGTAGTCAAACAAGGATAGGTACCAAGGGTAGGTGATGGCAGGAGAAAGGCAGGATATAAATTTAGTACAACAGCCTCTGTCTTAATAGGGACACGCTTTGGACAAGGTGTATAGAAATGCTACTTCTCTACGTGAAAAACATGAATGAGGTCTATGGACATTCCCCAGAATTTACTGGTGCTCACTACAATGTCCCAGAGAATCCCATGTATGGGTAGCCGAGCTTTGTCTTGCAACCTTAGTCTTAGTCCTCTGCACACATCATTAAAGGAATCAAAGGCCTTTCCACAAGCCAGGTTCGTAGCTGCAAACTGTGACAGTGAGTAATACCTTCTCCTGTTTGTACACAGGCATGGGGAGAGGTACATTTGTGTTAGTCTATGTTAGTCTACTAGTGGTCTACTTCTTGATAATGAGATTTGTGGATTTAATAGCAGTTTAATAAACTCCTTTTTAAGTCCAAGTACTTCAGTGAAAACTATAACATTAGAAAATGACTGTATCAAATGGAATTTAAGCACCAACAAGGGACAAAAAGTGTACAAAGAGTGCTCAAAAAATATTGCTTTCTCCTTTATTATGTTTGCCCACAGCATCAGAAGTGTTTGTTGGTAGTAAGAGATAAGATGTTGAACCTTACCACCAAAGTTCCATTACATTTTGTTGCTGTATAACAGATGGCAAAATAGCTTCTGACATGGAAGTGAGTATGAAGAAAAGGTGTGTCTCTGAATTTCTCCACACAGAAAAATGGCACCCACTGACATTCCTGGACATTTCCTGAATGTCTATGGAAACCGAACAGTGGATGTCAACAGTGAGGCAGTGGATGGTGCAGCCTCGTAGTGGCAACAGCGACAGTAGGTCACCTCCACTAGTACAGATTTTTACACACACAGTATGTAGGTTCTTGTTCATTGCTGGCAAAGTTCATAGATAATTGTGGTGATTATACTAAAAATGTTATTGAAAATAGTGCTTTGCATCTGCAAATTTACTCTATCAAATAGTGTTATTCTGCTATTTGAATCTATTGCAATTTCTATGGAAATAAATAGAGGCATTACTTTTAGAGTGGCTCACATGCAATTTGGAGAGTCAGGGTTCAGAACGTACTTACAGAGATATCCTGGCCTGATTTTTCTCAGTGCCTTTGTTTCACACTCCAGACAGCTTCTGCATTAATCCTTGTGCTTCTGATGGAGCCAAGACTCCCACTACCCAGTTCCAGTCTCCCTGCCCAGAGCCATGGCCAGCAGGTTGCATGGTCTGCTCATATTCCTTCTCTTCTGTAGGACATGTGACTCTTGCACTCACTGAGTGCAAAAATCAAACTGCAAAATGCACCCTGTGCCCCATCTTGTTGCAAATGCCCTGGATGCCTGCTGGGTAAAAGTTTGCCTGAGGCATGAGAAGAATAGATCCCAGTACCCCAGGGTGAATGTGTGGGAGTGACTGGCTGTCAGTTTGGTCTCATGTGTCAAACAAAGACACTGGCTGATGAAATAGTTCAATAAACAGCGACAGTCAGAGCTGTGCAAACTGTGAAATGGCACAATTCTGCACGTGTTTGTAGCATGTTTTATCTGCTTATCACGTAAACCTTTCTACGTTCTGTTTACAGCAATGGAAATGGCTCCAACTCTCACTCCCAGGTTTATGGCAGGGAGGAGGAGGGTGGAGTTGGGGAGGAGGGCAGCATATTCATGGAATGAACATCAGCTGTAAGAAACGACACCCTTGGTATTTAAGGTTTCCTACTGAACAAGGAATATTGAAGATAAAGTAAGTATTCAACAAATGTACAGCAATGGCCATACAAATGAGCAGCTCCCTTGGGCTCATGCTATCTGCCCCTTTGCATTTCCATAGTGGAGGATTGATGTTGCTTCCATTAAGAAAGATGGAAAATCTCCAAGTGCTTTTGGTGGGAGCAAATGCCTGCCTCTATACACTCCAGCCTCCTGGGGTGTATATATTGTACTCTGTATTCAAGCTACGTGCCTGCGTATATTTCCTATGCAATTTCAGCTTTTATAAACCACTGGAGTTTGCAGTTTTGTCAGCAATGACAATGATGAGTTTTGTTCCAACTGGTGTGTTCCCAGGGAAAGTTTTTGTTTTAAAGAAATGTCACTTCCCAATTGAAAAAAAAAAAAAAAGAAAAAGAAATCAACTGAAAAATTCTTCATTGGTTCTGTATTTTGAGTTAATTCTCAGGTTTCTCTTGCCTTCAAGTGCTTTGCATACTCAGGAAATATTGAATCTGTAGTGACCATACTGTCACGCTAATGGTCCATCTTATGACAGAGCTGAAAACACCAATGTGGGTCCCCATTCCAGTTGGAGAGGGACAAGAAACGGTCCCTGCTCATTTACTCTTGCTCATCCTGTACATGGAGTTTATCACAGGCTTCCAGTTCTTCTGGCTACTTTTTGAGGCAGAAGTTAGCAATCTTCAGAAAGTCCTCTGCAGACGCTGCTGGTTCAGCTCTTGGCTATTTCTGGACTCTGAAGTTCAAAGTGTAATTCAAATGGCTTTCTCTAGATTTGCATTCTTGTATTCCTCTTCATTTGCATTTGTATTCTTGACTTCGTCTTCTTCTACTTATACTGTTCAATCCTCCATGTTTTTCTCAGTCTCTGGATGCTAATATATAGCATATGTTCCCCATTTAACTCTTCCTTAATTCTTATTGGCATCGTTTTTGTAACAAAGGAGAAACAAAACAGTTGCTTTGAGAGAAAATATTTACTTGAAAAACAAACTTTTCTTTGTATTTACATGTGAAAACACGCAAAGCCTTTGTGCTCTGTTTTATGAGTGTTACCAGGAAGAATATCTTTCAAGATTATACCACTCAAAATAAAGCAAAGTTCGTTTTTTAGTGCATCTTATCTAATGAAAATTAAAAAGCACATGTGCAAAGGTATGTTTATAGTCTTTTATGTTTTGTGTGAATAGAATCAATATCTGTAATGATAATCTGGAATTACAAAGATGGAAAAAAAAATTATAAGATAAAAATAATTGTTCTGCCCACAATTGAATTTTTGTGTGTGTTTTTTTTTGAAAATGTTTTTAGCTACGGTTTCAATTTCCATTACTGATTTGCAAAATACAAGTTTACATCTCTAAGTCCCATGACAATTAATCCTGCCTGGACGGCTTCAGAGAGGATCAAGAGCTAAGGAGAGAACTGTGCATGCTAAGTAAGCATTTGTAAATCTCAACCAGTAGAAGGGGAATGCATGTATTCAAGAAAAAGAGAAAAGGAAAGGGAAAGGGAAAGGGAAAGGGAAAGGGAAAGGGAAAGGGAAAGGGAAAGGGAAAGGAAAAGGGAAAGGGAAAGGGAAAGGGAAAGGGAAAGGGAAAGGGAAAGGGAAAGGGAAAGGGAAAGGGAAAGGGAAAGGAAAAGGGAAAGGGAAAAGGGAAAGGGAAAGGGAAAAGGGAAAGGGAAAGGGAAAGGGAAAGGG